AACATTACCTAACATACCAGTTCTGTATATTATAAATTTAAAATTTAATAAATTAATAATTTAGTCAGTAATTGAATGGATTACACATGTTTATCAAACTTACCCTGGCTCTATCATTAACAATAAATATTTTTGTTAAATCCATACTAAAAGCCGGAACCAATATCTCCACAGTCATCATAATAGCCAACACTATCACAAAAATTATTTTTACATTTTTCAACAATATTTCGTTTCTATTATCCATAAGTTTGTTATTTTTAAAAAAATTTTACTTTATTTAAACAAAAAATATTAACCAATTTCTCGTTAAAAAATATTATTTTTTTATAAAATACAGTATTTTATATAAAATGTATTTTGTATTAATAATACAACTTATGATATGATTAGAGACAATAGAAATCAATCGATTAGTATTAAACTCTATGGAGATCTTATCAACAGTTTGTGAAAATGTTTGATTAGAAACGGAGTAAAAGTTATTATATTTATAATTAAAGTGTAATTCACTGCCAATATTAACTAACTCATAGTAGACCTCGTGTAAATGTTCCCGGTAACCTTATTTATTAAAGTTATAGTGATTAAAATATATAAATATCACCCAGATTTATGACAAACAAAATTTTATTTAAGATACATGTATTAAGTAATATTAAGTCATTTAGATTTTAATAATATTTTATAAATACACTTGAACTGCGAATTTGGTGATAAAGTATTTTATTAGTTTAGTAGATAAATGTATGTTTAAATTGGCTTTCAATTTAATTTGCTATGTAAGTATTTTTTATAAATAATTATTTTTTAGGCAGCAACAATCCAGTTTATAAATTATAGATTCACTTATCTGTACAGCTAATTATATAATTATAATTATGCATCTTACAAAATAAATACTTTTATTATAAAATTAAATTTAATAATATAATAGCAATCTATTTAAAATAATCTACATAGTTAATGCATTGTATAATTTTGTATACTACATTGCGGTATTATGTGACATAATCAATAGGAAATTAATAAAAAGTAATAATTTTTCATTTTAAAAACAATTTTAACAAATACCCAGCAAAGTTATTATTTCTAAAACAAAGTTATATTTTTTAATCAAGGGCTGATTATTATATAATTTTATATAAAAAAATTTAATCAAAATATAATTATTGTATCAATACTTCGGTAATACAGTAGTACTGTATCTATCAATAAAATATTAGTGGAAATGTATGATTAGAAACAGTGTTATAGTTATAGTAATTATAAATTAAACTGCAATTCACTGCTAATATAACTTAAATCACAATAAATCTCATATCAAAGTTCCCAGTAGTACAACATTTGAAATGTCATACTATTACCTTGCGCATCATTTCCAACAAATCATTTATATCTGTGATATCTTTTATAGTTTTTGTGAGAATCCATAATTTCGAAAATTCTCACACATTAATATTCCATTTGAATCAGGGTAAAATGGTGCGTATGAATATATTGGTGGTGGAAAACCATGTTTCTCAAAATGTTTTAATTGATCTAGCTCAACTCTAACTTAGTTAAATTTAAAGGCATCGAGTGCAAAGCATTTTGGCGAAAATTTCAAAAGAAAAACTTTATTTTATAGTATAGGGCGACACTAGTGTCAAAAGTATAGTACTGTACTATAGAACTCCAGGTCCACTAAAAACTAATTAAAAAGGCCCTTGAATTCTGCCATATGTTTGTTAAAACAGGGTATTAAATAACAAGGAATGTTTTAAATACTTAGCTTTTTATTTATAATATATTAACAATATGCTACAAAATGTGTATTAGAAAAGACATTCAATATACAAACTATTTATTTCTATTTTCAATGACATTTTACATTATTGTTAAAATGCAATGGATATATTAATTATTAATAATTAATAGTTGCCCTGTATCTAAATTGTCTGTATGTATTTTACAAAATAAATATTTTTTATAACATTAAGTTATTAGATTATTTTTCCCTAGATTACAATAACTTTAAATAAATGTCAGAGTTTTTAAAATAAATTATTTGCCGAATTAATTCATACTTGAAAGTATTATGAACATGGTCACGATTGAAATGGGAACTAGATGATTTTATTTATGATAATTTTAATTATTAAGTAGATAGATATGAACTAAGATTGTTTTAGTTTATGTTCACTTTTAGTTCACAATAAGGTGGCGGTGGTTCATACGATGGACAGGGATCTGTATAAGGCATGTCGTAAATCACAGCACCGGTAGTCCTACTAATAGCGTATATATCCGATTGATTATTATAATTATTATCACTATTCATAGCATTAGTTTGCAATTGATTTCTGAGATATTTTCCATATCTGATGGCCACGTATAGGACGGTTAGGTTGAGGACAGTTAGCACACACAACGCGAACACACGAAGTGTTAGGTATAGCGAGAATAGACAGTTCATACCCTCTAACACCATGAATATCCGGATCATTTTGTAGGAGCTTTTTACACGTGAAAATATGCCGATTATGCAAACAATTTGTGTATATATGCCGGACACTAGTAAATCAGATTTTATTGCATCCTATGTTAACATATAAATTAGCTTGTTAAATTAATTTATTTTTAAATTCTCAAAATTAAGTTTAACAACGAAGCTTAATAAGTTAATAATATAACAATAACGCAGTTTATAATACGTAAAACTTACCCTGACTTTATCATCATCAATAAACATCTTGGTCAATTTCAAACTAAATACCGAGACCGCAATTTCTGTGACCATTATAATAGCCAACATAATCATAAAAATAAGTTTTGCATGTTTTACAAACTTTCCGTTTTTATTATCCATGAGTTTTTATTTAATCACTAAATTAGTTATAACTTATAAGTAATACTTTTTTAATTAAAAAGCAATTTTAACAAATACTCGTTAAAGTTATTATTTCTATAATAAAGTTATATATATTTTTTAATTAAACACTGATTATTATATAATATAAAAAGTATTAATCAAAATATTAATTATCAAAACTTAGGTAATCGTATCTAAAAAGTTAATGAAAATGTATGATTAGAAACAGTGTTATAGTTATAATAATAATTATAAATTAAACTGTGATACAGTGTTAATATAAGTTAAATCACAATAAATCTCATATCAAAGTTCCCGGTTGACACACATTTGAAATGTGATATTGATTATATTATTATATCACTGAAATGTACTAAATAAACCTGGATTAGATTGCTACATGGATTATGTCATATCAAGTCACTATAGATTTTTAACTATACGTATACTTAATAGATTTATAAACACTTGAATTATTACGTTGATAAAATATTTAAGTTTATTATGATGTTTTTATAAAAATAACCTTTATAGAATAAATGTCTATTAAAATTGAATTTAATGTAGACACAGTAATTATTTATAAAATAAAATTAAAAATACATAAGTAGCAATTTTCTAGCTAAATAATTATAAATTTGGTTTGCTATAACAAATAATTTATTAATATAGCTTATTTAATAAATAAGTGATATATAAGAAAAACTTTGTTTTATAGTATAGGGCGACACTAGTGTCAAAATAATAGTACTATTGAACTCCAGTTCCACCAAAAATTAATTAAAAAGGGCCTTGAATTCTGCCATATGTTTGTTAAAACAGGGTATTAAATAACAAGGAATGTTGAAAAAACTTAGCTTTTTATTTTTATTTAAAAATATGTTATAAAATTTGTTTAGAAAAGCCATTCAATACAAAATATTTATTTCTATTTTCAATGATATCTTTACATTATTGCTAAAAGACAATGAATATATTAGTTATTACTAATTAATAGTTGCCCTGTATCTATCAACTAACTTATGTAAATAAATATTGTTATTATAGGATTATTGTATCGGATATTTTATAATAAATATAATATATAATATTATTATGATTTCAAATAAGTAGTAGCCTAAATGTTTTTGTAGTATAATCAGAAACATATAAAATTAGGAACAAGGTAAATATTATTGTTTCTATAATTAAACTGTAATTCACTGTGGTTATATTTACTAAATAGTACTAAAACCCATATAATTGTAAATGATCCCGATAGCTTTACAGTGATATTGAATGAACTATTAACGCACTAATAAATGAACCGGTATTAAATGTTAACAATTTATCTGTACTAGTAAACATATTTTTATAATGAAAAATTATCATTAATAAATGTCAGGTTGAATAGACAATAATTACTACAGTATAAGTATAATTGATTAAAAATTGTCAACATTAATTGTCCTAGAAATTAATTTTATGATTGCTGTATATACTGTACAATATAATATTTATATATAATTCATTTTATTATATAATCATTGAATAAAATTACAATATTTTTAACAAATTAAACTTTACCCAAGTAGGTGGCTTGATTTGTAGAAATAATTATTTAAAATATTGATACTTTTGAAATGTTTAATTTAATCTAGTTTTTATAACACCTAGTCTAATTATTATAGCAATATGTTCATGTTTAAAATAACACTATTAATTTAATATAGCTAGCTAATTTAATGCACTTAATTTTTAAATAATGCAATTTATTATAGCATAATAAAATAAATACTAATTAATATGAACATATCAATTAATTTTAATATAAAATATTGTCAACATTTTTATATTTTAATTAAATAATTACAAATATATAATTAAATATTAAAATTTAATCGCTAAAACTTATATAATTACAACACACCCGGCTTATAATTTATTTTTATTGCTTTTTTTGTCATAAATTTCAAAGTTAAATAATTTTCTCAACACTAATCAAATCAAATTGTAATTACATGTTTATTCACATTTATCATCTATTTCAATGTTAAATAATTTACTAATAATGTTTTGCATAATAATTATGATGATCAAATGAGCTATATCAAATTAATGATATAATATCAACTACAATATTATAAAATAAAGTAACTTGGACATTTTATTCCAAATAACATTCATAGAAAAAGATATTCTTTATAATAAAACTAAATAAATAAATCATTGAAAACTGATTTGTCGGCAAAACTTATTAATATTCAATTGACTATAATGTGGGGGATCTTCATAAGGGGGAGGATTACTAACAGACTTCTCTCGAAACGGCTCATCCAACCTACCGGTGCCGTCCATAGACAGTGTCCGACCCGTATGCTCTATATTTATGGGGTGAGTGCCTATCTGTAGGCACAGTAGTATGGTGTACAGGTAGCCCGAAAATGTGACCACAATATTGATTATAGTGAACACCCATAGTATGAACACTGTTTGGTAGTGAGCGGACGCACCGAAACAGTAGAAGCTGTTGAATGTGTTCAGTACGGATAGTAGCAAGGTGGTCGCGTAGTTTTGGTAGTATGACCCGAATAAACCAATAATCGCAAATATAATGCCCAATATAGCGATTGAGATTAGGATTAGCCGTAGCGTTAGCTATGATAAATAAAAATACAATTATTTAATGTTAGTTTATTATAATTATATTAGTATACAAAACTGATAATTGTTATACTGGTCATATATATTTCTATATTTAAGCATATTAAATTTTGCCATTTTTGATATAATTTAATTTAATTAGTTTATACAATGAAAAATTTAATTGCAAATTATACTATTAATTATTATACCAACTTGTTCATGCTTAAAATAACAATAATGTTTATTAAATTAAAACAAAAAATTAATTTAATATAGCTTGCTAACTACAGCAAATAAAAGTTATATACTTAATTTTTAAACTAGCGATAATTATGCAATTTATTATAAATATAATAAAATAAATACTAATTAATATTTTCTACTTAATGCCAACTTAATAGCCAAACCCTGGGGAACAGTACCTTATCATCCAAGTGGTCGATATGATCGGAGGCTACCTCTTCGCTAATGGCAATCAATACTATCGATAAACACGATATGATTAGCGATAGAAAAAATACTGTCCATCGGAATAGAGTTATTAACAAATACTTGGAGTCCATTACCGTCTAATGTCTATTCAGAAATGCCTTTCCCACTAACAGCACCACTACCTTATGTCTGACATTCAATTATTATGCAATTAAGCTATAATTAAAACATTTATTGCCGTATTTTTGGTGATAATTTATTTTTATAACACTTTTTTATGGCTTTTAATTGTATGACAAATAAGTTTTTGGTAAATGTTTTTAAACTCTATTTTTATTATATTTGTTATGCATTTCGGTATTAATGTGTTTTGAAAACATGCTGTGAATTACTGGATGAGTTTGTTTTACAAATATTATTTTTAATGTGTGATTAAACTTTGATTTTTAAAATCGTTTGGAAAACACTTTTATTTTGTGATAACATTTTTATGATAGCTATTAAATCATTACGTTTAAGATAATGCTATTAATTGTCATATGTTTTTAAAAACTAAATACTAAACACAATCTCAATAATGTACGCAATGTTACCCTAAAATATAATAAATCATTATGCACAATTAAATCATTTTCGTATGATATTTATTAATGAAAATAATTCAGGTATTAGTCATACCATTACACATGAAGTGTGACTTTAATTATCGGGAAAATACATTACTATCACAAACATATGGAAAATATTAATGAAATGATTGAATGCTTAAAATATTTGTACCAAAAGTCATCGCAAATCATAAAACTGTGAGAAAGCACTCCATAAATGGGAAAAAAGTTTTTTAATTACTATTTTGTAATCATTTAATTAGACTTTAATAACAATTTGATCATAACTTGGCGGCGGTTCATACGGGGGTGGACTGGATGACCCTTTCCTAGGCCTATTGCCGTACAATTCCTGTGACATACCGGTGCTGTCCCTACTCTGGTCAGTCTTAATCAACAAACACAATGAGTATACAAATGAAATAAGTGTGAGAATAATGTTCAAGGTAGTTATGGACCATATGATAGCCATGTCTATCATATGTGTCGAGACGTATACACAGAATATTGTGTTAAATGTGTTGAACAGTGTTAAGCAAAATGAAAGTAAAAATATTTGTTTGATTGATGCAAATAAGCCGAAACACGAGAATACCAGTCCTAATACACCCATCGTGTAGGTTAGGTACCGACTGTCCAGCTATTTGTTGGGAATTAAAAGGAACAGTAGTTTAGTATAAGTTTCAAAAACTTTTGTTATGATTACTAATATTATTAAAAGTTTGTATTATTTAATAGTTAATTAATTTTCATATTTACATGAATTGTATTATCTTTGGACACCAACTCTGCACTGATATCATCGCTAATAGCCATCACCAGACCGGACACCACCAGTAGGGATAGGGATGTCACTAAGGTTGGCATTTTCAGTGAAATTTATTTTTCGTGAAATATTTCAGTGAAATATTTCACTTTAGGTGAAATATTTAACTTTTAGGTGAAATTTATTTTTAATGTATAAAAGCATTGGATTTACATAGGCGTGATCCACAAAGTACATACGCACGCCTTGGGGGAGGGGGTCATGCCAAAATGTATGTCCCCATGTTAAACTCCTATGTAAGATGGGCGTGTAGGGGGAGGTGGTCAATTTTTGACTAAAATTTTTGCGTACGTACTTTATGGATGACGCCATTTCCTCCGATAGAGGGCGACCCTAAGTGAAATTTATTGAAATTTATTTTCAAGTGAAATATTTCACTGAAATATTTCGAAATATTTCAGTTAAATTTATGAAATATTTCACTACGGCCAACCTTAGATGTCACACATAATAGCCAACAAACTATATTCCGGGTCAATGTCTGTAAATCCATTGCCAAACATGTATTCATTTCACATAAATTCTGGGCATTTAGTATTGAAACCACTTTTAACTACTAATTGAATACAACTTTCACTTCAAAATTATATACAGTTTTTAAATAAATAAATGCTTTTATGTATTGTTTATGACTTTTGTTTGTAATAAACATATTATTTACGTAAGACTTAAGACGGAAATCAAGTTTAGTTTTAATTATCAATTTCTACGGTTATTATTAAAGTGATTGTATTTCTGTATAAAAAATTATATCATTTTTGCGAAACACATAAACATTTGATAACAAACTTTTTAACGACTTCTTGAATGCAATGTGTTATTGACATTAAAGGCAATACAGAATTCAATGTAAATATAGATTTCATTGTCTTTTCTCTGTAAATAAAATTTCTGCTAAAATAATAAGACAAATAGTTTTTATTATTTTACTTACCAGAAGTACAATTTATATATACAGAGTACAATGTTTTTAATTATACAAAAATATATTCTTTAGGTATCATCAAGGTACAAGTTACATCAAAGTAATATTGCTTATACAGGTTCACAAGTATGAGGTTTGAACACTTTGACAATTTATTTAAATATGTTTAAACCCGTGATATATCAACTTAATATAAATTATATCAAATTAAAGCTTATATATGTGAGATTAAGTGTATAGAATATCTTTTCTTTATCATTTAATCTGGCCAAGTTATTCAATCCCGAACCAATGGCATATATTTTTACATTTTGAGACCAATTTTTTAGATCCGTGTCCATTTTCCCGACGCGAGTATATCATAATTGACCAAAAGTGGTCTCAGTGCATTCATGGCACTTTAAAAACATTATTCATAAATAAAATATAAGTAAAAACAATCCGATTGTTAAATAATCTAATTTTTCTAACAGAAAAATTTACGCGTGTTTCATACGTCGGGCACTTACTGCACCACAGTGTTAATTTTCCCATAGATTTAACATAGAGTTAAAAAACAAATTTAGATACCTTGGGTTCGGAATTGAATAACTTGGCCAGATTAATTTATAAAGAAAAGATATTTCTTAGACTTAATCTCACATATACAAGCTTTAATTTGATATATATTAAGTTGATATATCACGGGTTTAAACATATTTAAATAAATTGTCAAAGTGTTCAAACCTCATACTTGTGAACCTGATTGAATTCACAAGTTAAAAACAAGTTTAATATTTTTACATAATAAATTTTTAAACAATTACAACCATACTTCCCTTTCCGCAAATACAGTATACCAGGTAGAAATTTTAATGTCTGGCCATTTCGCAAATCTCGCAGTAGGCGAGCACCGGGTGATTCTCAAATGTACATTTCTCACACACCCAACGTTTGCCCGCATCCGTATCATTAGGAGTCTCATCATCAGCACCGGTATGCAGCATCCTTGTGCCATCCGTAAGATCGTTTTCCGAATCAATTATTTGCTTTTTAAACATATATTGCAAAAAATCAACGAAAAATGAGTTGTCGAATGTTTTTAATCCAATTAATATTTGCTGTGAATTGTTGTCTAAAATAATATTCCTATCGATAGACCACTCGTTATATTTGTCTAACACTTCACTGCATTCCGGTCTTTCAGACCACTTGTGGTTCGCCATTGAATCCAACAATTTTTGCAATTGAAACGCCGGTTCGTCTAGTATTGTCCATTTTTTTGAATATCTTTTAAAACTAAAATGTTTAAATAAATTTTAATTCTCAAATTTAGGATAGATTGTCTGATAGAAACTATTAATATTAGTAAGTTACCATAGAAGGTCATATAGCCATGAATTGTAAGCCGTGCCACAATAACAGTGACAAATCTTTGAACATTATAATATTAGGCAGTATTGGGATTAATGTTAAAATATTCAAAGTTTTGTCACTCAAAGTGTGACCACAAATGGCTCCAGTGTGCATCGTAGTTATAGAGTATGTGTCAATTCGTAAGTGTAAAATATAAACAAATGATACTTTACATTACTTATGAACATAATGTTAATTGTTTATAATATTTAGAATAAACTATACCTCTTAATATCCAAAGAAAATAAGTCGAAATTAAATATGTCGCCACCAATTAGTGCTAAACTATAAATATCAGATTTATGTCCATATTTTTTTCCATTTGATACTTCAGGTGCTGTGTATCTAATATCACCGATATCTGCGGTGTGTTTGTGTTGTGTTTTGTAATGAATGCGTTTGTCGTGAACTGTCGCCAAACCGAAGTCACATAACTTAATAAATCTACCGTTCCTTACATTCCTCGCAATCAATATATTGTCGGGTTTGAGGTCTCTGTGAATGATCTGTGGATTCAATTCATGTAAATATTGAACGCATTCTAATATTTGACGAAATATTTCACATGAAATGAAATACTCGAATAAATCCATCGCCTCTCCCGATTGTCTCTCAAATACTTGTGGTTTGATTTCAAGAATATTGTGAAGACTTTGTGAACATAACTCCATTTGAATGTAAAGACAGTTATCTATAGTCCAGGAGTCGTAGTATTGAACCACATATTGTGAATTCACTTTCACTAAACTTTCCACTTCTTTATATATATTTTGTTTTTGATAATCTGACATATCTTAAAACAATATGAAAGAAACATTTGTTTGAATGCAACATTGGTACAATGGTACATTGGATGCAACTTATGATTACTCACATATATATATATATAATATTACATGAAACAGAAAGTCCGTAGAATTTTATCTTATCTTCTCATTTCAAAATGCTGAGTCAGATGGACCTTGAGTTTGTTTATTATTGTAGACTAGTTAGTGTAGATTAGAATAAATGGCGTTACATTTAATTGCGTTCAT